CCTGCCACCAGCCCCTTGCACCACGCTGCTCTGCTGCACCCCAAGGATGGCACAAGCCAATCCAGCAACCCCCGCCGCGCACTCAGGATCTCTGCCGCCGTTTGCAATACCCCACTAGCAAGGGCATGTTGCTATGTGCAGTCTTCAGAGGTCTAACTCCTTCCCACCTCCGTCATTAAATTAACAACCCAAGTATTTGTAACAAAGTGTTATTTATTAGAATATTACATTGCACTTAAAAAATAAGGGAGGTCTGACCCTGTCATCTTGACCTACACGAAGGATACAGGGCCAGACCTACAATAAATATAAATACTATGTACAGTTTATCTAAAATAAATATATAATTTAAAATGAAAAATATCTTGTTAAATAGCTGTTACCCTCCCACCCCTCCTGCGCCTAAGAAAGCCCCAAGCCCGGTCTCCTCGCCTTTCACAGTTTGTTCCTTGGCATGCACCGCAGTGGACGGAGAGCTGCTCAAGAGCCCCTCTGCCGCCAGCTGGCCGGTCCCTCCTGTCTCCGCACAGCTGCCCGGCCGGCGAGCGCCTCTCCCGAGCCCACTCCGTCCCAGAGATGGCCACAAAGCTCCCTGCAGTGATGCTGCTGCCCAACCAGCCCCAAAGCAGGTGCTGTCCTGCTGCTCCGGCGAGCTCCCGCCGCACTGCAGGCTCCCAGGGACGGCGCTGGCTCTGCAGCTCTCGCCTCTTCCAGGAGGTAGAAGTGCGTTAGTGCCGACCCCTGCAAGACAGCAGCAGGAGAGCTCACAACATGGCCCTGGGCTGCTCTGCCCACGGAGCAGTTCCTGCATGGCAGGGCCAAGGTGCCCATCCCACCCAGCCTGGCGGGAGATCCCTCACGGCCACCAAAGCCGCAGCAGCCACTCGCTGCTTCGAGGGGCTGGACCCGGGAGGATGGGAGCCAGGATGCTGGGGAAGCGGTGGCTAAGCATCCCACCCCATGTCCACCATGCTTCCCTTCCAGGGACCACAGCACTTTTCCCCCGGACATATCCACCCCAGTAATCCCCAGGGCAGAGGGGACAGTGATGAAATCCTTGTGCTGCATCTCCTTCCCCAAAATTCAACTCCTATAAAGAGCTAAAAATCCCACCCCCAACACTATTACCAACATTACAGAAATTCTTTGAAGGCATTACTTCATCCTCACAAAAAACAAAGATTTTTCTTTTTTAAAAAAAGAGAAGTAGCTGTGATACATATGGGCACATCTAACATCAGGGTTTGGACCAGACCAGAGGAAGTCTGCAAGCTTTCCAGCACCTGGCCACAGCCACAGGGCCACCCCTGGGGCAGAGCACGCCCCGCCGCCCAGCCAGAGTAACATCGCATGGGGCTGGCAGCAGGATCCCCCCGTGCCCAGCTGCAAGGCATTACGTTGGTGCAAGTAATAAGCAGAGTGGGAGTGAAAAGGAAGGGTTGGTTTTTTTTTTAATATATAAATAGAGGCAATATCTAAGGAGGGGAAGTGACTCAGAGGGTCAGAGAGGGAGCAGAACAAGTGGGAAAAAAAACCCAAAAAAAACAGAAGCAGCTTCCCCACTGCCAAATGTCCCCAAAGCATGCAGCGACAGGGCAAAGCAGGGACTTAAGGTTAGAAAGGAGGAGGTGGTGGTGGCTGGGGGTGTCAGGGGACAGGGGCTTGAGCAGGAAGGGGAGGCAAGTGGGCCCGAGCCCCACGGGGCAGCCCAGGCTCTCAGGCCAAATCCAGTGAGCTACTTCTCCAGGCTCAGACTGTCTTCAGCTCCTGCCTGGCTCTGGCACAGGATCCACACAACAGTCCCAGCCAGCGTGAACAAGGAGAGCCCCCAGATGCCCACCAGCCCCACTGCTGTCCCATGCCCGGCCAGGGGCTCACCTCGCCAGCACCCAGCATCCTCAGTGATTCACAGTGATGCCCAGCTTGATTTTCTCTTCGTTTTCTACATCGTAGACACCCCTCTTGTGACACCTGTGAGGCCAAGCAAAGAGATGCTCAGAGCATGGAGAAGTCCCGGCCACGCTCGCCTGCACGTGGTCTTCCCGGGGACATGGATCCAATGACTCATATCTATCCCACTCACCTGAGCATCAGCAGGGCTGCGATGATGAGGAGACACAGGGAGGACAGGACAACAGCAACAACGGCCAGTGCCGTGGTGTGGTCGTATGCGCTGGGGGGGTGCTCCACAGGCAGCGAGAGGCCGTGGCATCTCTCTCCATGATATCCTGGCTGGCATCTGGGCAAGAAGAAAAGTCTTAAAGGTTGGTGGCAACCAAGCATAGAAGGTCCTTGGGTGCCTCACACCCCCGTGGAAAGGAGCTGCCTCTTTGCTCAGCCTTAGTCAGCACCCTGCCCATTCCCCTTGGTCCCCCTTCCCTGAGCTGGGAGGTCTGGTGTCACCATCACCTCCCTGGTACTGGTAAATTAAGTTTCTCCTGCCCCAAGCACCAAGTGAAGACTCCTAGAAAGGTTGAGCTCCTCCCAGTAGAAGGCACCAGGGTCTGTGCTCTTCCCAATCGTCCCCAGGCAGAGCCAGGCTGCCCAGACCACCTCTGGAAGTGGGAAGTCCCATGCAAGGGAGCAGAGAGGCAGCTGGACTGGAGCTCAGTGCTTCCCTCGGAGCAGGATGTCCCTGCACACCCTGCCAGCCAGAGAGGTGCCACCTCCCTGCAGACTCAGGAGGTTACTCACATAACAGAAATATAACGCTCCCCAGCAGAGCTGCGAGGCTGCCAACCCTCCCCGTGAGTCAAAGCGCACTGATGCGACCGGATATATATATATCTCTATATCCAGTGCCACTGACCCTCAAGCTTACCTCCAAGATGGGGTCTCAGCCCAGCCCTCCTGCCCACGCGCCAGCGTCACCTCCCAGCCATGGCAGCAAGGCCAGACACAAGGCAGAGGAGCAGGACCCAGCCTGGCAGCATCCTCACCCCACCCCGCACCCCGGGGACCAGCCCAAGGAAGCGATGATCCAGGAGACCCTGCGACACAGGCAGCCAGCCACCAAGAGCAGCCACAACCGAGTGACACCAGCCAACACGAGGCCTCATTATCGGAGAGGACTGGGGCAGTTGGCTGCTGTTCCTAAAAACCACGATGGCTCTGGGGAGACGTCACCCAGGGATGGGCCACCAGGCTGGAGAGCCCCAGCTGGCCCCCAGACCCCTCCTGCTTGCCTGTGTCCCAGGTCCTCCCCCGGCCCCAGAGATCTGGGAAGGGCAGGAGGCTGGGCAGGGGACGCCTGGCTGTCCCAGTCCCAGGCAGGGGATGCTGCACCAGCCCAAGCTGAGCCAGCAGAGTTCTCTTGCTGGCAGTCCCGAGTCCCCTGTGCAAGGGCCCAACTTCAAGACAGCTTCCAGGCAGAGAGAAACTAAGCAGTTCAAGGAGCTATGTGGAGCCTGATCCCTGCAGATTGCAGGGCACGAGATCTTGTGGGCACCATAAGCCAGGGAGCTATTATCTTCCCCAGGCTCCAGAGCTGGGTGGCTCAGAGGATTGATAGCAAAGAACAAAGCCTCTTATATATCTGCCAGCTCAACCCCTGCCCACGTCAGCAGGGAACAAATGTGCACCCCTGGGTATTTCCCACCGTAGCAGCGCTGGATCCAGGTGCCCCGGCAGCAGGCAAACGCTTTCTCCTCCGCTTGCCTCATCTAGTCCCTACTCTCTACCTGCATCCCAGGGGGGCCAGAGAGGGTGGGTACACAGCCCTGTCCTTCATCAGGGCCAAGGGACAGCTTGGGCATGGCTTTGGCAGACTGTCCCCAAAGGTGCTACCTCCAATCCACCTCGCTGGTGCCACAGCAGAGATGCTCCTCCTGCCTGCACCAGTACATCCCGACAGCCACGAAAGCCCTGAGCTCTCAGCCAAGGCTGGCAGCAGCAAGGGACAGGGGGACGCAGGGTTACAGAGTCAGCATGGGGTCTCGCAAACCAGACCTGCAGAAGACCTTGGCTGCGAGACCCCAGCCCCTGCCCACCGTCCTCTGAACCCCACCACCGCGGGTCTCCGCACGGTAGCTCAGCTGGAGCTTGCCGTGCCAGCAGGGGATGCTGGGTCTAAGTCCACGACGGATTTTGGTGGGGGATGGACATTGCTCAAGAAGCACAAGGAAGAGGCCAAGTCAGAGCCGTCCCCACACGGACAGGGAACATACACTAAAAATATCTCCTCTGCTCTTCCTCTGCCCGACCCAGAGAATTGAAGGAACCATGACTAAGGCTCCCCCGGCACAGGCACACGCCAGCAACTCACATGCAGGAGGGAGCTCCCAGCTCTCGGATGTATTTGCATTCGCCGTGAATACAGAAATCCTTGTACTTCCGCAGGCACGGGTCTCTCTTCTTCCCCAGGCCTTTGCCTTTTCTTCTTTTATTCCCGTTCCCTTTTTTCTTGGGAGTAACCAGGCCTTGAGGCTTTGACAGGAAAGCAACTGGAAAACAATTTCGGAAGGAGAAAACAGTGGTCAGATCACCTCCGTGCGTCAGCCGAAGAGAAGGCAGAGCAGCAAACCCTGGGCTGCTGCAGCCAGCTCAGCCCTGGCCCTCCCACAGCCTTTTGTGCAGTGATCTGCCCCCGAGCAGAGGGGTTTTTTCCATTTTTTTTTTTTTCTTTCAGCTTCTCACAAATATCATGGCCTTTCCGATTCATAAGAACAATTCTCAAGGAAAGAAAGGACTCGGGGCGGGGGAAACAGAGCTTTATGCATCTCAAATGTTGCTATTATATGCACCAGTTTCCACTGAACACAGAAAATTGCTAATTGCCCCTTTATCTGGCTTTTATTTCCCTGATGAGCATGGTCTTTTGTAAGACCCTATTCATGGCTTTGATGGACTCTCCTTCCTGTGGGTACAGGGATGCCTTGCGCACCCGGAGCAGGATTAAGAAAGCAAGCCTGGCTTAATTTTTGGTTTTGCAGAGCGAAAGAGATGGCAAGGGCAGCATTCCCATGAATTACAGAAGTATGTTTTAATTGCAGTGCAGAGACCGGTGGCTTTTGGTGCAAGGCCAGCTCCCTGCTGGGATGGTGGGAACCAGAGCACTGAGCTCCTCGCCTGGACACAGACCGAAACCAGCAGTGTTACTGGAATAGTTTTAAGATGTGCAGATGCCCAAAGAATCAGCCCCCAGCTTGATCTCGCAAGGTGCCAAGATGCTAGAAAGCGCTCACTGCTCCAATAGGGGCTTTTCAGCTCCCCCTGAACCACGGCACTTACCTCCGGTGAGCCCAGGGAAATATGAACTAAGCCCCACGCTGCTCATGGAGGAGAGGGCAGCCGAGCCTAACCTGGCGAGTTGTAACCTGCCTAATTCCTTCTCAGCCACTTCCTGACGTAACCGAGCCTGTCTCCTCCCCGGCAAGCACCTCTCGTGCTGCGGCACACCGGTTGCGCACCTAGCAAAGTTATTTTGCTATTTCGACATCCTTCACACTACGCCTGGAGAAAACTGATACTCCAGGAAACTCTGCGGCTTGGAGAAACCCCAGGATCCGGGTGAGGCCCGGGGCTCTGCCCCAGGCTGGCAGCACAGGCTCTCCCCTCCCCTGCGGGTTATCTCCTGGCCGCAGCCAGCAGAGACACAATGCCTGCTGACCCCCCCAAGCCACCTCCACTGTCACCACCCCTCCTCCCCAGGGCTCTGTCCCTTAGGACAGCCTGAGAAGATTTGGCAGATCTTGCTGGTAGGAAAACTGGTCCAGCCCAGGTGGGCAGGGGGGTGCTGCTGCTCTCCCCCTACTCAGACACCCTGGGGGCTGTGGCACAGAGGAAGTCGCCTTCAACACAAAAGGCAGGTTTTTCTGACCATAGCTCAGCTCAAGGCATCGAGAAGGTGCTCTGAGAGGCTGCAGCCTCAGTAAGCAAATATCCCCCATGCCCTCGGCCTGTCCCGCAGACGAGGGTCAGCCAACGCCTGCCAGATCGCTTGCTCTAGGACAGGGTCCCCTCCTAAGGGGGATGCACAGAGGAGCAGGCTGGAGCATCTCCCTCCCAGCAGGAGGGGTAACAGCATTTCCCAGGGGCTGCGTCCTGTTGGATGTGAGGGGGTCAGCCCGGTTTTGCAGGTTTTTTTTGTCACAGGCTGATGGCACAGCCAGAAAGCAAAGAAAAACACGGAAAAAAGGGAGGATGAACTGTATGGGGCAGAGCACGCTCCTCCTGGTGCCAGGTTACTGATCTCAGCACGTCACATGTGCAAGGCACAGGTACAGCTCACCCTCCTCAGCTTGCAATGGGCCCCCCATCCCACCCCCACGAGAGTCCCCGGGACACTCTGGTCCCGAGCCTGGGGGAGAGGAGCCAAGCATGAATGCCCAGCGAGCCTAACAGAGCGACAGTGTCCCCAACGCCCCCGTAGCGGGGACTGCTGGCTGACTAACCCTGCCTAGGTATGAGGAGCAGCCGTGTGTAGGCGGTGGGTGAGTCACAGCGATCCCCTCGCCGGCGGCCACCGTGGCTACCATCTGGAAGGCAGCACGGGCCCACCAGCCGGAGCTGCGCACCTGCGGGCAGGGGCTGCCGTGCCACCCAGAAGGGCTCTGCCTTCCATCTGGCCAAGGAGTTGGGGGCCCAGGAACCCTTGGGACCCCCGTGCCAGAGACTTCAGGGACACAGGCAGCCCCTGGCACAAGGCGAGGAGCTGCCAAAGCCCAGTTGCTCCGTGCTAGTGCCCCACGGGCTGGCCCCACTCAGGGCTACTGCCACGGGCGCCC